ACAAAAAAAAAAAAAAAAAAAGCTCATGCTAAAGAAAGCAGCCTAAACTCAAAGGAGACCATGTAAAGGGAGTAGTAAGACGGAGGGTGGAGATCAATAGAAAACCAGCAACAGAGAAGAGCAGTAAAGGCAAACACTACGTTTTGTGAAAAGACTGATAAGATTAATAACACCTTAGCAAGACTAATCAATGGCAAAAAGGGAGAAGATAGAAGTTTCCAATGTCAGGGATGAAGAAAAGGAAATAACTAGAGGTCCCATAGACCTTGTGAAAGGACGATAAAGACATGTTATGAATAGCTTCACGCCCACACCATCAACAGCTCAGGAGACAGGCAGACATGCCCTCGGTAAAACAAATTGCCAAATTGACAGACACGGTAAGAAAGATAAAAATCTAAAGAACCTCATGTCTACTAAAAAATTTGAATTCATTAAAGTAAAACATCCTTTCCATAAAGAAAGCTCTGGTCCCAGAAGTCTTCACTGTGAATTCTACCAAACATTCAAGGAAAAAAAAGATAGTCCCCAGTCTAGGCAAACTTTATCAGAAAACAAAGAAGAAAATACTGTCCAAATCATTTTATGAGACCAATGTAACCTTGATACACTGTAGGCAGAAAAGCATGTGACAAAACACAGCCCCCGTGACTGACTATACTCTCAGCAAACCAGGTTGGAAGGGAAGTTCCTAAATCTGATAGCAGAGCATCTGCAGAAAGCCTGCAGCCGACATTATACATAGTGTCGTGTTGAAACATTTAACACATTTCTCTCAGACAAGCATGTTTGCTCTCACTGTTTCTATTTAGCATTGTATTTGCGGTGGTCACCTGTGTAATGTGGCAAGAAAAAAAAATAAAAGGCACGAATATGGGAAAAGAAGAAGTAAAACTCTCATTATTCAAAGACAACTTGATTATCTACTTAGAAAACCCGAAGGAGGGGGCCGGCCCGGTGGCGCACTGGATAGTGCGCCACTTGGGAAGCGCGGTGGCGCTCCC